ATGTTTCGTTTTCCTCCCCAACCGATGTGGGATCTCACAATCCACCCCCTTTCAGGGCCCAACGTCCTTGCTAGCACACCGCTTTGTGTCCACCCCTCTTCGGGGCTCAGCCTCCTCACTGGCACATCACCCAGTGTCTGGCTCTGATACTATTTGTAACAGCCCAAGCCCATCACTAGCAAATATTGTCCTCTTTGGGGCTTTCCCTTTTGGGCTTCCCCTCAAGGTTTTTAAAACACATCTGTTAAGGAGAGGTTTCCACACCCTTATAAAGAATGTTTCGTTCTTCTCTCCAACTAATGTGGGATCTCACAAACCATCAATCATTTGAAAGCACAAAAGAGCAGCAAACTATACTTGGGCAACAATTATATATATAAATTAGAAATCAACTTAATGGTATTACTTGATCATCTAATACTCAGCTGACACACCAACCTGTCTTCTAGGCTCGAAACGAATGGTCAACGTATGCACAAGGAATGGATCGAGAGGTGGATCGTCTGGTTTAACAGGGCGGAAGGATGAAAAAGGTATTCTGACCTGCAAATCATGGATGCAATCTTGTAAACTGTATTCTAAACACAGATATCAACAAATTGCTAGAAAATGGATTTGTTCAAGATGTTTGCACCAGTAGAATATTACATCACTTCGGTAAAAGAGATTTCTTACCCGACAAAATCCAGCTTTCGTGCTAAATCTCGAGAAATATAGTTTACGTTGAGTTGTATCAGCTGAAGGACCAGCTTCAAGAATTAACACATAAGACCTTCCATTCCCACCAACTGAAAGAATGAGCCCCTCATATCTAGTAATGAAACGTAGAAAACGAAACGTGTTCGCAGTTAACACCGTTATTTAAATACCGAACTCTCGACTAAAAATTCAAATATGATAGAATGAGTAACCTGTCGAGGGTGGATCCCAACGGAAGGGAAAGCTTCGTTGACAACTCGACATATCCCCCCCTTGTAAAAACGTATCCTACAATAACAGTTGAAAACATTATATTCCTTTTTTTGTCTTTTGGGTTCAGGATAAATGAATTTTACCTGAGAAAATAGCCTCTCCAGTTTCAGTATATTCAAATTTTGCATCCATGCCTCCATCGTACTTAGAAGCAACAACATCTTGGAAGTAAGTTCCTTGGCGAACTTCCCAACCATTCAACGACTCTTCGGATTTGAACTTCGCAAGCAGAAGCTTACTTTTGCTGCTTTTTCCAGCACGAAGTTGTGCTAGCTCATTATTATAGTCCTACAATTTACACCAGGTATCAGTTTTTGCCAAGATTGCACAAAAAATCAAACATGGAATCACTTTTTCTCCATGATTCTTTCTCTGTTGATGTTCATAATTTAAAGTGGTTCGCTTTTGCACTGATTTGCACAAACAAGTAGCGTTAAAAAACTCGGCACGAATTCATGAATCCACAGTCGAATAGAGAAATTTCGTTATGATTTATGAATACAGAGAGGCAGACCTGAAATGCTTTGGTGATATTGTAAACTCCTTGATGATCAACCCTGAAGAGATCTGCTGTAATTGTGGAACGAGCAGTTGCACAGTAGATGATTTTATTGCAGCCCTCCACAGCAGCCTTAAGGGTATTAGCATCACCAACGTCTCCGACCACGATTTCCACCGATCTTGGAAGCACGTCTAGGATATCATCATCTTCCTTCCTTACTAGAGCCTGCTTGGCATAAGGATAAATTGATGGCTCAGTTAATATAATGAATTTATGAATCAAGTTGCATAAATAGCCCGTGCCTAGATTCAATTGGAATATTTAGTGGTCGTTCGAGCAAACGCTCGAGCATTAGATTGACATCTACGAACGTGATTACATCATCTAGGAAGTCAGTTTTTCAGGATCCTAGAGATCTTAAACTTCTGTCTTAACTGAATTCTTCTTCCAATCTCTTCCAATTGAATTCATGAAGCACAAAAATTAACAGAAGTCTAATCAAAATGTATGTTAACTCGCAAGCACATGTTGCAGCTCTCAAATTATCCCAACTCCCCAACTCAACCCTAAGCATCAGCTATACTCAATGCAACAAGTTCCAACACATGTAACGGTCTAAGCCCACCGCTAGCAAATATTGTCTTCTTTGAGCTTTTCCTTTTGGGCTTCCCCTCAAGGTTTTTAAAACGCGTCTGCTAGGGAGAGGTTTCCACACCCTTGCATAGGGTGTTTCGTTCTCATCCCCAACCAATAAAACGCGTTTGCTAGGGAGAGATTTCCACAACCTTATACAGGGTGTTTCGTTCTCCTCCTCAACCGATGTGGAATCTCACAATCCACCCCCCTTCGGGGTGTCCTCGCTGACACTCATTCCTTTTTCCAACCGATGTGGGACCCCCCCCCCACCAAATCCACCCCTTCGGAGCCCATCGTCCTTGCTGGCACATCGCCTCATGTCCACCCCCTTCAGGGTTCAGCCTCCTCGCTGGCACATCCCTGGTGTCTGGCTCTGATACTATTTGTAACAGTCCAAAACCACCGCTAGCAAATATTGTCCTCTTTGGGTTTTCCCTTTCAGGCTTCCCCTTAAGGTTTTTAAAATACGTCTACTAGGAGAGGTTTTCACACCCTTATAAAGGGTGTTTCGTTCTCCTCCCCAACCAACGTAGCATCTCACACTTCAACACTAAAAGGCAGGTAAAGACGAGCAGACAAAGCAACTGATATAAAGAAACAAAACAATTAGCAAACGAAGTAAAACCTTGACACTGTAGCCACGCAGCATAAGCTTACGAACAACAATGCGACCAATGCGGCTAGTAGCACCAACAACAAGCACAGTAGTATTCTGAGCTCCAGGAATAGCAAACTCACACATAGGCCCCTCCCTAATAAGCATAGCATCAAGAGCTTCCTTATCATCCATCCTTGTAGTCCTCGATATCTGCCCCAACCCAGAAAACTTCCGCCACACTTCATCAAACAGTTGGCGGGACTTCCGCCCCAACCCCACTGGATTCACATCATCCAACGAAATCTTCGGCTGCGGCGGCTGTGGCGACAGTTGCTGTTGAAACCCTTCACTGGAATCCACAATCTCCTCCACTTTCTCTTCATCAGCTGCCACCGCAGCTTTCTTCGATTTAGGTTTCTTCTTCCCCTTATTGCCGGTATTCGCAGCAGCCCTCGTAATCAATGATCGGCAATGGCTTCGATTGCCACTCCGAAAAGAACTCGAAAAGAAAACAGTTCTGTATAGATCTGAAGAGGGTCTCAATCTATGGGCTGCGGAACCGCTCAAATTCGCATAAGATATCGTCGCCGCAGTTGCCTCCATAGCCATTGAACTCCGATGCAACGGTCACTACAAAAATTGCTTGAAAGGAATATGAGGGTTTGTAGAAAAACGACTTAAGGGAGAGATTTGATCACCAATGGATCGTTTGAACTTTGGATTGGAAAATGATAGCAACCCATTTGATTTCTTGCCCATAGAAAAAGGAAGCACAGAAAAAGGCATGGAAAATAAACTAGAAGCTGAGAAGGGACTGTTTGTGGCTCTGAATTTTCCTAACCACACAAAGAAGATGAGGGAATTTGGAGCCATTTTGACAAGCCTTGTCACAGGACCGCCACGTAAAGGCCTTCTCTTCCTCTATAATATCAAGATTCAAGGCGCGTTGTTCAGAAAATCTTGCTTTTGGCAATGCCTTTGTACGATGTTTGTGGCGTGGGATGATGGGTTTCTTCTATTTTGGCTGCAGTGGTTTACAGAGAAAGTAGGGAATTTTTACTATGGTTCTAAAGGTAATGAAAGAAGTTTCCAACCTTTTGTTGAGATGTGGATGTGATGATGAATTCAATTCATCATGTGATTCTAAAGTTGATTGTAAAGGTAGAAGCATGGTAGTTTTTTTAGGTAAAAATATTTAAATTTTTTATCTTTATGGTCGTTGCAAAAGTTAGACGGTCGAAAATGAACGTGTTTGATCGAATATGTTGAACTAAGTATATCTTTTCTATTATCGATGCGGAATCCTGCTTCGTTCTCTTTTCCAATCAATGTGGGATTTCACAATCTATCCCCTTAGGGGCCAGCGTCTACACTAGCACATCGCTCGATGTCTAGGATCTCACAATCCACCATTTTTGGGCCGGAGATTTCACAATCTATCCCCTTAGGGGCCAGTGTCTTCACTAGCACATCGCTCGGTGTCTAAAATCTCACGATCCACTCCTTTAGGGGCCAACTTCGTTCTCTTCTCCAACCAACGTGGGATCTCACAACCCACTCTTTTAGAGCCCAGCGTCCTCGTTGGCACACTGCTTGGTGTCTAGGATATCACAATCTACCCGCTCGAGGGGTCAGCATCCTCTCTGGCACACCACTCAGTGTCTGAGATTTCACAATCTACCCTTGGGGCTAGCATACTCGCTGGTATGCCGCTCGGTGTCTTGCTCCAATATCATTTGTGACCGTTCAAGCTCACCGCTAACAGATATTGTCATCTTTGGCACGTTATGTATCGCCATCAGCCTCACGATTTTTAAACGCGTATGTTAGAAAGAGATTTCCACACTCTTATAAAAAATATTTCGTTCTCTTCTCTAATCGATGTGAGATCTCACGATCTAAGAATTCAAGAATATGGTCTCCTAAACGCATTTGGTAAAAGTGTGGATATTGAAACCCTTCGCCCCTTTTAGTTCAAAGGTCCCAACTCGGCCTTTTCTCTCTTTTTTTTTTTTCGCTTGGAAGATCAACTATTTCACTGATTCAGAAAACGCCACCGACTTTCCACCAACAGAGGGGGTCGCTAGCATAGTGAGGGCTCCTTTATTGCATTATTTAATCTTCTTGTTTAACTTTTGTGGCTTCGACTTTTAAGACTTGAAACCACCGCCACTGCGAAGCGGAAAGCAAAAAATATTGAACTTCTCATTCACTTTCCCGCACACCACTTGATAATTCCACCCTTTTTGGCTCAGCCCTGCTTTTCGCCGAACACCCATCACATCAGTTGAGTTTTAGAGGCTCTCATTTGGGTTTTTCTTGCAAATGCTTTCTGCTCATGCCTTACTGTCGAAACATTCTTTGATTAGGTTCACTTGTTTTCATTATGCTTGTAATAGGCTGCTTTTTTTTCCTGAAAATGACTTGTAACTGTGCCTTCATGAGGGGTTATTTTCTTTTCATATTCATTGCATTATATCGTCTCTTCACAGGCATCTATGGCTTTTGCCTCTCGATTCTGATTGTTTGCGAGGTTAGTTTATGATATGGGTAATGTAGAATCTATGTTTTGGGGTAAGTGTGGGTCTTGTGATGCTTATTTTGGCACGAGTTTCGTTGTTGATGCTTGAGATTTTGGGTTTTTTAGTGTGAAGGTCACTGAACCTCATGAGCTTGGAATGTCGGATTTAGTTGCTCAGACTGGACTTTGTTTGTAAGAGGACTCTTTCCTTTGGGTTCTTCTGTTCTTCATTTCTTCTGTTATCTGCAGAGCTCAGTGGTGTGTTTCCTTTTTAATGCTTTTCTTTGTTTATTGTCATTGTGATGCCACAGATGTGATGATCCCCACTTTGGATACTGTTCTAATTTAGGGAATGTTGTTGAGCTTGGTTTTGCTGACTCTTTTCTAGAGGTAAGATGTTATGGAGATGGTTTTCTGTAACGGAGTATGTGAGATCCTATATCGCATTGCTTATTAGGGTATGAAAATTTCTCCCTAGTAGACGCATTTTAAAACCTTGAGGGAAAGCCCGGAAGGGAAAACCCAAAGAGGATAGTATTTACTAGCGTTGAGTTTGGGCTATTAGAAATGGTATCGAAGCCAGGTACTGGGCGGGGGTGAATTGTGAGATGTCATATTGGTTGGAGAGAGGAACAAAACATTGCTTATAAGGGTGTGGAAACCTCTCCCTAGTAGACGCGTTCTAAAACCTTGAGGGAAATCCCGGAAGGGAAAGCTCAAAGAGGACAATATCTATTAGTGGTGGGCTTGAGCTGTTACAAATGGTATCAGAGCCAGATCCTGAGTGGTATGCCAACGAGAACGTTGGGACCCCAAGGGGGGTGGATTGTGAGATCCCACGTTGGTTGGAGAGAGGAAGGAAACATTTCTTATAAGAGTGTGAAACCTCTCTCTAGTAGACACGTTTTAAAAACCTTGAGGTAAAGCCCAAAAGGGAAAGTCCAAAGATGACAATATCTACTAGCGGTGGGCTTGGGCTATTACCGAGTAGAAAGAAAATGAGGGGAAATATATATAACGTGCGGGCGTATGTGCAGTTTCCTTATCGAAACCTTAACCTTCAGAGTGATTTGCAACGTATTCTCCTGTTTAACGTTAATTCCAAACTTTAACTTGGAACTTTAACTTGACGCAAGAACTGACTTAAAATGAAAAGATAATGATACCTACGCACAGAAGAACACTTGAACACAATTGTCATTAACCATTATTTCTGAGTTTTGTTTGATGTAGCAGAGCACTGTTGCCATAATGGCTACTACTGCTGGATTATTGGAGAAACATGATGGTTCTTTTCCCTACAGATTTCAGCTCGAACAAGACGTAAGTGTCTGGCTGTTTATAGATGTTTCGTTACCGCGCAATAAAATATTATCTTAGATACTTTACTTTTACGCTTCGGAAAATCCTGTCATCCGCTTTGTTCTTTAAGATCAATGGCTCCATTGACATATTATGTATTGAACTTAGTTTTTTTGGGTTGATTGTGAGGTTAAGAATACTATTTTGTAGGTGAGAAGGTTACAACAAAAGTTGCAAGAAGAGATGGAGCTGCACACTTCCCTTGAAGATGCTATTCAAAAGAAGGATCTAACATTAGCCAACTTCTCATGCCTCCCTCATCACGTATGTTGCTTGTAACCGCGCAATTTGTGGATTATTTGGTTTGGTCGTTATGCTTTGAAATATGACGAGAAATAAGGAGAGACGACATGACACGGGTTATGTTCTTTGTGTTAAAATTTGTGTAGGCCCAAGATCTTTTGTCTAGCATTGCAGTATTGGAAGATGCAGTTGTACGACTCGAGCAAGAGACGGTCTCTTTACATTTCCAACTTAGTCAAGAAAAGAACGAAAGGAGGCTTGCAGAATATCGTTTAATGCATTCATCGCCTTGTTCAATATCTGATTGGTCCAATTTGGACACGATGAAGAAACCGGTATGTCATCACATTGGTTTTTATCTTAATGTAAATATTATTTTATATTCGTGAAGACTTGAAACTTTACTTTTTTGTCGATTCTCACTCGCATTTAGATAGGAAATATGTAATGGTCAAAGCCCACTGTTTGGGCTTCCTCTCAAGGTTTTTAAAATGTGTCTGCTAGTGAGAGGTTTCCACACCCTTATAAAGGATGCTTTGTTCTCCTCCTCCCAACCGATGTGGGATCTCACAATCCACCCCCTTCGGGGCCCAACGCCCTCGCTAGCCCTCGTTCCCTTCTCTAATTGATGTGGGACCCCCCAATCCACCCCCTTTCGGGGCCCAACGTCCTTGCTGACACATTGCCTCATGTCCACCTCCCTTCGGGGCTCAGCCTCCTCGCTGGCACATCGCCCGATGCTGGCTCTGATACCATTTGTAACGCCCCAAATCCACCACTAGCAGATATTGTCCTTTTTGGGCTTTCCCTTTCGGATTTTCCCTCAAGGTTTTTAAAACACGTCTGTTAGTGAGAGGTTTCCACACCCTTATAAAAGATGGTTCGTTCTCCTCTCCAAACCGATGTGGGATCTTTGTGATAATTAGTTTGGTTAATATTCTGGGTTTGAGTTCACTCGCTTTCCATTCTCCAGAATAAATATGTAACCTTGTTAGAATTTTATAGTCCTTGTCGACTGTAAAGAAAAATGTTTCTTAATTCATCGTACGTTGCTCGAAAGCATAATCATGTAGCTAATTTGTTGCTTCCGTTCTAGTCCAGCTCCTCCCTGCAGTTGGTTTTTCGTGTCGTATAACTTGATTTGAGTGACGTGTACTGTCTTTCAGAATTCATGGGAAGAAATTGAAGATGGCCTAGTTACGCGCTGTGAGAAAACGTCTGTGACAGAGGTCAATGAACGTTCCCAATCAATAGAATGCGAGAAAATGTCTCGAGGGCCACCGTCAAGTGGCCTCTGGCATCACCCTAATATCTTATCAGAAGAAATGGTCAGATGTATGAAAAACATATTCATCTCTCTAGCAGATTCCCCCGTGCCATCCAAGTCATCAACATCGGAAAGCCACTCGCCTGCATCGCCCCAAGGACATCTCTCCAGTTCATCATGGTGGTCATCATCCGAACGATCCATTATTTCATCGAGAGTACAAAGTCCACAGATTGACCTTCCAAGTAGCTCTGAAGTATTGGCCACACAGAATACCTCTGATCCATACAGTGTGCGTGGAAAATTAAGCTGGTCTGACATTGGAAACTATTCACAAGCAGCTGAAGTTTCTTGGATGTCAGTTGGAAAGAAACAACTAGAATACGCTGCAGGAGAACTGAGGAAGTTCCGGTAACGTTCATAAACCACACTGACCTTTATTTTTCTTTCGTGTCGGGTTTTTCCGTTTCTTGGCAATATGATAATCCAATCCATGGTTGACCTGTTTTTGGCCTAATGTATCTGTTTCGTGAACAGCACTCTTGTTGAGCAGCTTGCGAACGTGAATCCCGTCCATTTAAACAGGGACGAAAGGCTAGCGTTCTGGATTAATTTATATAACGCACTAATCATGCACGTAAGCGGCTTCTCCTCGTTGAATTTGGTTTAATACATTGCTAGTCAACTGTAAACAGATGCTGAGATGGTTGTCCGCATCTCATCTTGTTTTCGACAGGCTTACCTGGCATATGGAGTTCCAAAAAGTGAGCTGAAACTTTTCTCTTTGATGCAAAAGGTTTGGTTTTGAAGGCCACATTTCTTCTGTTATTAATTGCAAGTATAGCAAACACATGCTGTAGAGCTGTAGTTAGCGTGTTGCCTCGCCCTCGAGGAAAATCTTGATAAAAATGTCTTCCTCTAAAACAACTGTAACAGCCCAAGTTCACCGCTAGTAGATATTGTCCGCTTTGGTCTGTTATATATCGCTGTCAGCTTCATTGATTTTTTAAAACGCGTCTACTAGGGGGGAGGTTTCCATATCCTTGTAAGAAATGCTTCGTTCCTCTCTCCAACTGATGTGGGATCTCACAATCCACCTCCCTTGGGGGCCAACGTCCTCACTGGCACACCGCCTAGTGTCTAGCTCTGATACTATTTGTAATAGCCTAAGCCCATCGTTATGTATTGCTGTCAGCCTCACGATAAACATGTCTACTAGGGAGAGGTTTTTACACCCTTATAAAGAACGCTTTGTTCCCCTCTCCAACCAATGTGGGATGTCACAATCCACCCCTCTTGGAGGCCCAACGTTCTCACTAGCACACTGCCCAGTGTCTGGCTCTGATACGATTTATAATAGCCAAGGCCCACCGCTAATAGATATTGTCCAGTTTGGCCTGTTACGTATCGCCGTCAGCCTCACGATTTTTTAAAACGCGTCTACTAGGGAGAGGTTTCCACACCCTTATAAGGAATGTTTCGTTCCCCTCTCCAACCGATATGAGATCTCACAACAACATTTTTAAAAGACTTCAGTCTCAAAAGATCTAATCGAAGCTATTTTCTAGGAAATACCATATACTATGTGCTTGCCTTTGCTGGTTAGTAGTTACCATTTATAAATATTTTACTTCTGAGGGTGGCTTTGGTGATAAGATTCGAGATGTTTGAATCTACCTTCCAAAGTCTCGAGTTCGAGCGTTCGGGTAGAGATTTCATAACCAAACTCTTTGTTGTCGTCACCCAAAGTTAGTTTTTGAGTCGGCTAAGTGTCTGTGGATTAGTGAGGCGTGTCGTGAGCATAATGCAAAGATTGAAACCCCTCCTAGTTATGAAAAACAAATCTAAGATGTGCATTCGAAGTCTTTGTGCTCTTGTATCGTGCTCGATATCTATTTGAAACAGCACCCTTCATGCCAAAAGGTCTGGAAACGATCAGTTTAAGTCGAAATGCGTACTTCGAATCGTGTTTTGTTGTCCTGTTCTTTCTTTTTGGGTATTAATGATTTGTTTCTTTTGAAATGTAATCTCATAGGCTGCATACACAGTGGGGGGCCATTCTATCAGTGCAACAGGAATTGAATATGTCATCCTCAAGATGAAACCACCAGTCCACAGACCACAAATTGTATGCATTTGCTATATATATTGTTTTTTTTTTTCTTTCTGTTTAGTTCATTGATTCATTACCCTGTTTTGTGGAAACTTGTAACCAGGCTTTGCTTCTTGCTCTTCATAAGTCGAAGGTGACGGAGGAGCAACGAAGATTTGCAATAGACAAACACGAACCGCTCTTAACATTCGCTCTGAGCTGCGGAACTTACTCATCTCCAGCGGTAATTCTGGATGAACGAACTCACGTGTATTAACATTTTTCTGCTTCAAGTCTAACTTGTACAACTTATGTAGGTGAGGATCTACACTGCAAATAACATCCGAGACGATCTTTTGGAGGCACAACACGATTTTATTCGAGCGTCTGTAGGTGTTAGCAGCAAAGGAAGATTATTGGTACCGAAACTGCTATATTGCTTCGCCAAAAACTCGGTTGACGATACAAATCTGGCAGTATGGATATCTCATTACCTTCCACCCCGTCAAGCTGCTTTCGTTCAGGGTTGTATATCCCAGAGGCGGCAAAGCTTAATCGGTTCTTGCAACTGCGGTATTCTTCCTTTCGATTCTCACTTTCGGTATCTATTTTTGCCTGAGAAATCTTCATTGCAATGATATCTTCATGAATTTGTATAGAAATTCACCAAGTCTTCAACTTTAGTATTCTGCATTTGGTTGCATAATGTGGGTGTAAATTTCTTTTTTGGGGAAGTATGCCTCCTTTTTCTCATCAGGGCTCCTAAGTTTTGTATATTGCGTCCAAGGGGAAGGGAGTTGGTTCATTTTCTGCAGGTGATTGATTATGTATGTGCACGTTTATACAATCACAATAAGCTTCTACCTTGTTCTTGAACTGACCTTAGTGATCAACTTAAAGATATCAAAGACTCTTCTTTGTTATCTTGTTCAGCTTTCGGGTTTCGATTGTGTAATGATGTGAAACGAGCAAGATGCGTTTAGTTCGGCTCAAGCTACTACTAGAATTCTAATGTGATAGGTTATAGACTTGTCGATGATGTCTATCAATTATCGCTAGAAATAGTGAATTGACCATTTTTCTTCTTACATGAACACATTGCATTCATGAAAAACTCTCTACAAAAGAGCACAGAATTCTCCTATTATGTCAACAGACTGAATACAAATGTAACAGCAGAAATCACAATTCCAACATTTGTTCATATATTCTACATAAAACTAGTGAGTCCTACATTGTATCCATCTAATAGTTTTGAGTATGAATAGCATTTTTCCAGACCTTGTAATGTACATCTGCAAGATGTTCTCTGGCCAGTATCGAAAGCATCGAAAGTCTTGTGGTCGATACCAGAGGTACGGTCTCTTCAATAATATCTATTGTAGCAGATATTGAATAAAGGAAATGGAGGCCAGATCGAGATCAAGATCGAGCCAATTGGAACAATGTGATCAATATGTATTCTAAGTCTCAGCTACATTTTCAGGAAGATGTAGTCCCTTGGTTTCGAATGGGAAGAGCACAACACAGATCCCTGACAGAAGAATTACAATCTCAAACAAAATAATGGCCGCTGTTTGATGGCATCCTTTAACCAAAGCTACTGCCACGAGAGGGCATACCATTCCTCCAATTCTTCCAACGGAGCTAGCAATCCCGACACCGGTTGTTCGGATTGAGGTCGGATATATCTGTAGTTTGCATAGATTATAAGAGTATAAATAAGTTATACCCAGAGCGAAGAAAGTGCTTGAGAAAAACTAAACAAGAATAAGATTGCACCAAGAAACAGAAAAGTGTAAGGAGGAAAACTTCGGTTGGTAATCACATTTCAAACCAAGGTGGAATAAAGGACAGATAAAGAATGCAAATCTGTAATAACGAATCCTGTCATGATAGATCACACAATCAAATAACATGGGAAGTGATTGAGATTTTAGTTTTAGAGAAGGCATATGATAGGAAAATTCAAGTCCAGATCAAAAACAAAGTATCAAAAGCAGACAACCACAGATCATCCTCTTAACATCACATATTATGGAACATAAACTATGAACCAGCAGAAAAACATGTCTAGTTGTGATACATGATGTGGCAATTGTCTCTTAGCAATGAATTTTAGTGTTCGAACTTACCTCGGGAGCATATATGTAGACAACTGTGAATGTAGATGTGATGCATATGCGAGCTCCAAACAAAAGGCTAGTTGTTAAGCCATCAACCCGATAAAATGCCAAGGGAAATAGAAATGTAGCAGCCAGGAAGAACATTGCAGACATCGATAACTTACGCCCTAATTTGTCAACAATGACAGCTGACAATGCGAGACCAGGTAACTCTTCAAAGAAAATTTGAGGTTAGATTATCATCCATCCACCAAACCTTGCCCCTGACTAGAGAAAACTTTGGAACAACCAAAAGACCGTTACCTGCGAAACTAGAGATAAAGACATCTCTGTAGTTGACATCATCATGTTCATTTAGATGCATATCAGTAGTCGTACATCTACTCTTCCCAGTCAACTCGGTGGTCAGCAACACGAGGCCATAATAAGAGAATGCATTTCCAAAGAAAACCACCCACAACAGCAATGTAGACACAATCAGTTCTCGAGAAAGAAGCTTTAACAATGGAGAGAGACTCACTATATTAGATTTTGTTGCTCGAGGAGTTTCAACTTTAGTTTGTCTTGGCGAAAGCAGATGTACATCTTCCACGGGAATATTTTGCTCCTCAAATTCATACGAGTGACCAGAAACAAGAACGCCAGGAGGGAGATTTGTTCTATTACGCCGTGCTATTTTCTCTAAAATAATAGCTGCATCACTTGTTCTGCCTTGTAAACAGAGATATCGTGGGGACTCTGGAGTATATTGGTAGAAGATCAGTAGAAGAAATGAAGGAAAAGAAGAAAATGCGAGAAGCCACCTCCAACCTAAGCTTGGCATGACCTTCTGCAAATAAGAGGGTATACAATATGAAGGTGACTACAAACATTTTCAATGTCCGCTGGAAAGCATAGAGTCAAAAAAATGATAGGAAGAGCCAATAAGAAGACTAAATTACCGAGGTTCAAAAATCAGGTGAATAAGCCTGCATACCTCCATGTGCAATAACTAAATTTAACCTAAATTTAAAGAAACCTAATTTTGTTTCACCTTTAGAAGACTATCACATCAACCCCTAATGGCAACAGGACAGGACAGGACATAGATTATGTTCTCAATCCCTCCTGTTATATGTCAAACTATTTTGATTCATCACATAATGAAGTTAACTGCTGGAAAACTTGTTATTGTTCATAGCCACAATTAGGAGAGGGCAGCTTCTTGTACAAATGGATTACCAAATAACAGCATAACTATCAAAGTTGTTAAGCTAATAATTAATTTTCACCTGTTAGAACAGCAGGTAACTAACAACCAATCAACTACCGGTTAGCTAAAGACTAACAATTTCAAACCATTCACAAATAGTAACTAATAGTAAAATGTTTAGTTGCAGAGAAACACTACTAACAGAACGTCTCCATATAGCTGCTACGAAATGTTATCAAGGGAACAAATAGAAATACAGCACTAAATTTAAAGAGTAAAATAATCTCCAAAATTAGATATCATTTGCAAGCAGTGTCAAAGTTGGTCGACCAGAAATGAATCAGGCAATGAACACAACTTCCTATACATATATTTTCTTGTCCGTTTTTTTTTTTTTTTTTTTTTTTTTTTTTTTTT